TGTGAATATGATCATCACAACACATAAATCCTTCTGTGATTCTAGGCCTAGGTGCCTAAATACCTTGATGAACCAGCGGAGACAACCCGTGCCTGCCGATAGTGGGGGGTGAGAGTGAGGGCAGCCAGCTTCAGCATTGTTACTGGGCATGCTCTGTCCATGTGAGTATGCTCTGTGTAAGCCAAGCAGCAAAGTGGGAGAGGGGGGCAGAATGTGACTCTGCATGCCCCCCCTCCCCCCATGCATCACTTTTGTGAACCAGGCCAAGGTGACTTAAAGTTAAGCGTTGAATGCCTAAGTACCTGTTGTGAATCTAGACCCAAAAAACTTCCATGGAGCTGCACTGATTTAGACCAGCTGAGGTTTTCGCAGTATCTTAGTTGTGTAGTCAACTGCTGGAAAATGGTGAGCAATGTGAAACCAGTATCTGGTAGTGGGCAATAATGAAGAACACAGGTCACTGGTATAGATTGATCTGGATTGCTTGGTAAACTGAGTGTAAGCAAACAATGTGAGTTTTAATATGGCTAACTGTAAGTATATACATCTAGGGGAAATGTAGGCCATAGTTAGAGAATGAGAAAGCAAAGAAAATGATTTGGGTGGCCTGGTGGAAAACCAGCTGAATATGAATTCCTGGTGCAACACTGAGTAATGTAGTCCTTGGATACATAAACAAGGAAATCTCGAGTAGGAGTAGAGAGGTTATTTTAACGCTTTGTTTGGTAGTGTTCCATCAGCTGCTGGAATACTATGTCCAGTTCTGGTGTCCAAAATTCCCCAGATTGATACATTGGAAAGGGTTCAGACAAGAATCCTTATTTAGTCTGCAGAAAAGAAGAGTGAGGGGGGATTTGATAGCAGCCTTCAACTACCTGAAGGGGGATTCCAAAGAGTATGGGGCTCGGCTGTTCTCAGTGTGGCAGATGACAGAACAAGGAGCAATGGTCTCAAGTTAAAGTGGGGGAGGTCTAGGTTGGATATTAGGACACACTGTTTCACTAGGAGGGTGGTGAAGCACTGGAATGGGTTACCTAGGGAGGTGGTGGAATCTCCATCCTTAGGGATTTAAGGCCTGGCTTGACAAAGCCCTGGTTGGGATGATTTAGTTGGGGTTGGTCCTGCTTTGAGAAGGGGGTTTGACTAGATGACCTCCTGAGGTCTCTTCCAACCCTAATCTTTTATGATTCTAAGAGCCATGAGGAGACCAAAGGATTAGAAAACATACCTTATAGTGATAGACTCAAGGAGCTCAATCCATTTAGCTTAACAAAGAGAAGGTTAAGGATCACTGTGAGTTTCTACATGGGGAACAAATATTTTAAAATGGTCTTTTCAGCCTAGCAGAGAAAGATATAACATGGATCCAATGGCCAGAAGGAGAAGTTAGATTAATTCAGAATGGAAATAAGTCCATCATAAATTCAGAGTAATCCCCTTGAAATTCTTTATCATGAGGATGAAGATAGATAGATAGATAGATAGATAGATAGATAGATATTATTTTCTCTGGTTAAGCACACTCTTTCTATGACTTAATCACTTGGATTTCTTTTATTCCCACCAGTCTGATCATAAGTACAAGTTTCTTGTGCCTCCTCTGGGGAAATATTAACAGAGTTCAAACACATTAACCATGCTTCATTTCAAGGCTTGACTTGTCTCACATCAGCTCTCTGGGCATCGCTTTAACTCTTTTATCACTTTGGCCCTGCCTCTGAAATCCTGGTGGAACCACTAGAAGGAGGGCTGTCTCCGTTCGAGGACACAGTGCATACTTTACTTTGTGCTGCTGCTTAGTTTAGCAAAGATATTGAGTTTATGTTTGAGATAGATGAAGTCTACAATAGAACAAACTGTTCTCTGCCGAATGTCCAGTGTTGTCTCTTCAAACGCAGCAGTTGAGATTTGCCATAATGCCCTGATAACACAGGCATCAGCTCCCCCAGATGCTTGATATTCTGATGATTTTACCTGGATTCCAAACAATGGTAAAAGGTATTTAAAGCTTTATTGCCTTATTGGTTTCCTGGTTATTCTTTCTTAATGTGTCTGTCTGCTCTCAAGTGTCATTGAGTTTAGGTGAACACTCCCACAAATTTCCTTTTTAGTACACAATATGAATTATATTTTATTTTAGCATAGCACTAAAAAGACTTTTTGTCGATTTCTTCATTTACCTATCACCATGAATAGCACTGTAGTCAATGGAAGAACTTCACCATAGTGAGCATTGTGCCACAAGGGAAGTGCTTAGAGAACTGGGTCCAAAATTGTTAAGTGTTTGGCAATCAACCAGTTCTTCCATTCCACATCACAAAAAAAGCTTGCTCTTGCAATAAATAAATAAATTTTAAAAATGGAGTCTGCTCCTGGAAACACAAAAAAGACAATGAAGACATTTATTGTTAGGAATCAGGCTATTGATTTCAACCAGGGTGTTGCCAGAGAATCATAGAAATGTACAGCTGGAAGGGACCTCGAGAGGTCATCTAGTGCAGCCCCCTGGGCTGAAGCAGGATTAAGTATGCCTAGACCATCCCTGAGATGTGTTATTCACACAAGTTATTCACAGGAGTAAGTTTGTCTGCAGCATCAGGACGTTAATAGGGACTTTGTTAACCAGCAATCTAATCAATAGATAGATTTTAAAGAGATTCCGGTGTGGCATATGCTGGTGTATTCAGGTGTGGCATCCCCTGCCATCCACTGGGGATTTATGATTTATTTTAAAATGCTTTGTCTCTTCTGCTGGGTATTAAACAGTAGCACAAACAATAGGAAAAACTGACCATTTAAGGGTGGAAACACAGCAAGTGACTTTACACAGGTGACTGCTGTGTAAAACGTGTTGTGTTCTCACTGGAGAACCTTGAATAATGTTTGCTCTCGAAGCTCTTTTACTAACAGTGGATTTTGAGTGATAATTGTGATAGTGGCGGGCAAAAGAAATTTCAGAGAGAAGTTGGATTTTTAAGATGTTGCAGCCCCTGGAAGAAAGATCTGTTTAAAAAAATGTACATAATATCCAACAGGGAAAGTCTCTCTGTCTGTCTGTCTGTCTGTCTCTCTCTCCCTTTCTCTCTCCTCTATCAATCTACCTGTGAACTCTGTGATCTAAGCTGTAGAAAGAAGGGAGCTCAGCACTGTCACCTGTGGATGAAATGGGGCAAGAGGGGCCCTGCAGATGTGTAAGGACTCCATTGCTGAGGGAGCTCCCTGCCACTGTCTATTGGAGAGCAAAGGGAATTGACTGGATGGACCTGGCCTCATTGCATTTCAGTTACATGACAGTGTGGAGCATTTTGGTTAAAGTGCAGTTCAATTTTGAGTTTTGGGATGGGGGGAGGTAAAGTGCAATTGACCTTGTTGGGAGCTAGAAGGACAAGACATTGACATTGAACGTGCTTGAAGTTGCCATGACAAACGACGTCTGTCAGGCACAGTGAGACAAGGGAGCTTGGGTAGAACTAGAAGAAGGAAAATAAGAGGGAAAAATGTGCTGCTTGTGCCTCTCAGGTGGTGAGGCCTTTCTCCAGAGCCCTAAGCACCACTGATCCCTTCCCAAGAGCTGAGCTGAGACTGTCGGACAGCGCAGTACAGTGGATGTTGGGGCAGGTTGATGGCCATGGGTGGGAGAGATCAGCATTGGCAACAGCTCCAAGGTGAAGGGTGGCACAGAGAGGCTGCACCAGCAGCTTCTCAGAGGCAGTGGATGGCTCAGGCAATGGATAGGAAAGGTGGCAACTGTGAGGGGACAGAAGGAGGCAGAGCTAGGCAGCTTGGACTGAAGCCACAGCAAGAACAGCAGCCAACCCAAGGGACACTGGTCCAGGCCTCTCTACCCAGTAAGGGAAGCTGAAATCACTGTGGCTGGGTTAGGTAGTAGAGCAGCCCCTGGAGCAACGACCAGCTAGAATCCTTGGACTTCTCCAACCCAGGATGACTAATGGTGAGGGGGCAGCTGGGGAAGAGGGAATCAGCCAGAACTCGTCAGCCACTTACACTGGCTAGAGGAGGACTGAGGTTGGGGCGGCTCTTAAGATACCCAGGGGGAATCTCACACCATAGAACTTCTTAATTTATTGATTGATGGTTTTCCTAAATCCAGTCTGTTCTCTTCCTCCTGTCTGCCCACCACAAATAAAGTTCTCTCCCTGGATTCAGTGCTTGCCAGTGAGGAAAAGTTTCCATCAAGGGTGCCAAGATGATGTACATCATTTCACAGGTTTCTGCGTGGGGGCTGAAGCCAGTGTGAGTGAAGTCTTGAAAGGAAGCCCATAGAAAAATTGAAGCCACTCCTTTGGGCTGCTGAAACTGCCTTGCAGAGCGGGTCACATATCAAATGGCCTAATTGGTTTTCCTTGCTGGGTTTACTCAAAACATGGAAAATTTCAACATTTCAAAATATATATTCAGACTTTACTCTGTCAGTACTCAGGCAAAACTCCCATTGAATGTCCCTGAGTAAGGATACTCTGTACAGCGGTTAAAGCTGTCAACTAGAACTATTTCAGTCTCTCGGGAGCATATCCTGATTCACAGAGAGAAATTATTAGAGTAATTGATGTAAAAGAGCCCATTTCCACCTCCCTTTTCTAAATCAATGGCCTTGCTCATGAGGGATATTGCCTGTTTCTTACTCAGCCAAGAAGAAGAGTCTTAACTCTGGATTATAGGGGAAAGAGGATTAATTTGGACTTCAGAGTAAATTTAAAAAAAAAAAAGACAAACTGGTGTCAGATTTTTTAAGGTGATTAAGCACCTAGTGGGATTTTCCAAAACATCTAGGTGAGTAACCTCCATTGATGTCAAGAACACTTAGGAGAAGTTTCAATGTGTCTTCTATATTTTAATCTTTTTTAACCTTTGTCTTGTTCTATTTTCTAAAGGAAAGGTCAGCTAAGGAGCCAGTAAGAGGAGGGAACTGCACAGCAGGAACAGAATTCATCTTGCTGGGATCTGGAAGAGGTCCAGGGTTCCAGCTTGTCCCCTTTCTGATGTTCCTAGCAATGTACATGGTAACTGTGCTGGGAAACACCATCCTGGTCCTCATCATTAGAGCTGACTCTCATCTGCACACCCCCATGTACTTCTTCTTCATGAACCTGTCTCTCTTAGATCTGTGCTACTCGTCCACCATTGCCCCAAGAGCCATGGTGAGTTTCCTAGCAGGGAGCAAAGCCATTTCCTACAATGGATGTGCCACTCAATTCTTATTCTTTGCTCTGTTCCTCACCACTGAAGCATTTCTTCTTGCAGCGATGGCATTTGATCAATACTCCACCATCTGCAACCCGCTCCAGTATCCCACCACCATGTCCAAGAGGGTTTGCATTCAGCTGGTGGTGGGGTCGTATATCTGTGGCTGTGTGAATTCCATGGTGCAAACAGGCTTCACCTTTATGCTGCACTATTGTGGGTCTAATGAGATCGATCATTTCTTCTGTGATGGCCCTCCCTTGATTAGTCTGTCCAGCAGTGATACGTACATCAATAATCTTGTGATGTTTACCGTATGCAGCCTCATCATAGCAAGCACTGCCCTGATTGTGCTTGTCTCCTACATCTATATCATCTCCACCATCCGCAGGATTCACTCTGCTGAGGGCAGACAAAGAGCCTTCTCCACCTGCACCTTCCACATGATGGTTGTGACTTTATTTTATGGTACCAATGCTTTCATGTATGCCCAGCCCACTTGGATATTTTCTTTGTATCAAAGGAAAGTGGTGTCGGTGTTTTATACCCTTTTCATTCCCATGTTGAATCATTCATCTACAGCCTTAGGAACAAGGACATAAAAGATGCTTTGAGAAGGCCTATGGGCAAGAAGTGCTTGAAAAAATGAACATTGTCCTTGAACATAGAGCTGAAATCCAGTGGGTCAAGTTATTGTGCAATACAACTGCATATTCTGACCAAATGTTCATTTTTTATTGTGAGCAAGTTTTCCAGGTATAAACAAATCTTTGGGATCCACAGTATCTATCAGTCTATCTATCTTTTTTTCCATGTGCCTGTCATTGGCTTTCTCTTTGTCTCTATCTCCACCTACCTGACTAGCTGACTTGTGGAACTCATTCTCTCTGGATATTATTCAGTTAAATATATTCTCAGAATTCTAAATTGTCTTTGATATTCATAGGGATTTCATGGTTCAGGATGTGAACCATCTACTGTCTGTCTGAGTTAGTAATACATTTTTTCCATGATTTATAATACAATTGTTCTGCCTTTGAAAGAGCTGATACTGGCCACCACTGGAGACAGGATGCTGCTTCATGGCAAGTCCCTTGTTCCTATAATGTTCCAGAACACCGGCCATAGAACATATTTAAGACAATAATATATTTCTGTATATATTTGCATATTGTGACAGGGTCAGGCCAGATGGCTACAGGAGAGTGATAGAAGGTAGATATATTAGAGCCAGATTAAGCAGGTCCCTGTTCCCTGAGTAAAATAATGGGCTGTTTCAGAACCATCAGGAAGTTGCTGGAACCAATTAAGGCAGGCTAATTAGGACACCTGGAGCCAATTAAGAAGCTACCACAAACAATTATAACAGGCAGGCTACTCCGGGCACCTGGTTTTAAAAAGGACCTCATTTCAGTTAATGAGGTGTGTGTGAGGAGCTTGGAGCAAGAGGCGCAAGAAGCTGATAGTGAGTAGGTGTACTGCTGGAGGACTGCGAAGTACAAGCATTACCAGACATCAGGAGGAAGGTCCTGTGGTGAGGATAAAGAAGGTGTTGGGAGGCAGCCATGGGAAAGTAGCCCAGGGAGTTGTAGCTGTCACGCAGCTGTTACAAGAGACACTGTAGACCATTGCAATCCACAGGGCCCTGGGCTGGAACCTGGAGTAGAGGGTGGGCCCGGCCCCCCCCCCCCCCAACTCTCTATTTGAGACAAGAGGAGGTGATCTGGACTGTGGGTCCCAGCAGTGGGGAAGGTCCCTGGCCTATCCCCCGACCCACTAGGTGGGTCAGCAGAGACTGCAGGGATTGTTCCCCTCCCTTTCCCCATGCTGGCCAGTGGTGAGGTTAGCTGAGTGAATGGCAGATTTGAGCCACTGGCAAAAGTGGCCAAACTGAGGGCTGCCATGAATCTCTGAGGTGAGCAAATCCGCCAATAAGCGCAGGACCCACCAAGGCAGAGGAGGAACTTTGTCACAATATTTACAGATACTTGGATAAGGAATCATCTCAGTCCAAATCCTTAGGTAATGTAAATTGGGTGAGCTAATCTGACTTCTGTGCGTCTACACGGATCTACACCAGCTGAAGATCCAGCCCTTTTTATTATCACTGATGTCCTGCTCGGGTAGCTGGTTGGAAATGGTGAACAAAGTGACACACTTGTATCAGATAGTGGAAACTGATAGAGTCTATATTCAATTGGATCACCTATGTACAATACTCCTATGTTGTGTCTTCAACACAGCTCAAAAAAGCAAGTGGCCTTGACTCAAAACTCACTCATATTTGTGTAATTAAGGAACGTTCACTTCCCCAGGTGTAAAACAGCAGTGACGCCACGGGAGTCAATGGGCCTGATTCCTCTATCAGTCACCCCCTTGTAAATCAAGAATTGACACCATTAGAGTCAATGGGACTGATTCCCCTGCCAATCAGCCTGATGTAAATCAGGAGTTGCTCTGCTGAAAAAATGCATTTACACTGTTCTAAACTTCTATAAAGAAATAGAGAATCATCCCCATTTGCTCTATATTTTAAGATGTAATAACCTTAATAAAACAAACAACTAAATAAACCTTTTCCCTTTTCATTTGGTCATGAAATGAAAACCACACTTCGAGTCCAATTCAGCAGCATTTTTTGAGAATAACATCACCCTGACTTTAGGGGAGATTTCTGTGCATGATGTCTTTCCAAATTGAAGTTACTATGGGGATTTACCATGGAACTCCCAGTTTATTAACCTGCAAACTTAATTAATGAAATTTAGAAAGTACCAAATGCAAAAAAAAAAAAAAAATCTAAGTATGAAGAGAGAGGCATTTTGTCTTATTTCAGTATTTGAATTCCATTCTTCACTGCTGTTTGGCAAAGGACAAGCTAAGAGATTCTTTCTTTCTTTCTTTCTTTCTTTCTTTCTTTCTTTCACATCCCTCTTGCAAAAGATCAAAGGCCACCATGTGGCACTCCCACCCTCATTCATAAGCACTGATTTTAATGAGAGTTAGGTGCCTAAATATATTTTAAAATCTTGCCCTTCCTCGTTTCAGGAGTCTTAGTGTTGTCAAATGGACTGTTAATGTCAGTAATTGCTAAACAGTGAGAGTAAGAAGCTCACAATTTGGCCCTTATTTCATGGGGAGCAGAGAACCATGTGCTTGTGATGTGACTTTACTTTTGCTGATCAATTTGGCGCAGTCATGCTGCCATTCAAGTCAATCTGAGTTTTACCAGTGATTTCAAGAGAAGGCGGGGTAGCACTTATTATAAACAAAATGTCCCTGGCTATTCTCTTCATATAAGCCAACTGCATATGTTACTATCTGAGCCACAACATATGGTGCCAGTGTCAGAAACCAGGATGTGGAGGGTCAGGCCTCATGGTCAGCACTGCCAGGCCAGGAACTGGAGAGAAAGGTCATATCTGGAGTCAGGATTCAAGAGCTGGTTTGGAAAAAAGCAAGAATGGGGCTGGGAGTCAGGCTGGAACAAAGTATGATGATGTCTAAAGGGGAAGTTGGCTGTCTACACTAATATGTTCACCACTGTTACAAAATTGTGATAAACCTTGTACAAAGTATGCCTTGTGAGGTATCATTGGAAAAGTAGTAATCTGCCGAGTATTATCATTTTATTATAATGTGTGTATCGACATTGTGTGTCGAGTTAGGAAATTTTACTATATGTTTATAACTCAAACATGTTATGTGTCTGAGAAACGTCCACAGGCTAGCTCTTCAGGACTAACAAAGGAACTGTAAACAAGAGCGTCTGCATGCCATTCTCAAAATCACCTCAAATGGCATGGACACAAAAGGTGCAAACTAGAATTGTAATTCATTTGACAAACTGATGGCAAAGCATGTACACCACTGAACTGCTTGAGTCCATGACACAGCAAGGATTTTTCTAGGAAAAGGGTCAAGATATAAAAAGGGAGAAAACATGATCCTGGTCACCTCTTTCCTGCCCCATTTCTGGACTGGTGAATTCTGACAGGGGAAATTTTAAACAAAAGAACTGAGGTCCCTAAGAACTATTTGAGCAACTCAGAGAGACTTACAGAAAACTAGCAGATTTAACATTCCTGCTGTCATTTTGGACTACATACTTTGATCCAACTATAATGTATTTTATTTGCTTTAACCTTTTAGTAACTCTCATTTCGTTTTCTTAGTTAATAAATCTTTGGTTAGTTTATTAAAGGATTGACTACAGAGTTGTCTTTGGTGTAAGGTCCTGAGCATCAATTGACCGGGGTAAGTGACTCGCCCTCTGGGGCTGGAAGAACCTAATGTGTGGTGATTTTTGGTTTTAATAAGCTTTCATTACAGAAGTCCAGTTTGTCTGGGTGGTAACATAGGCTGGAGTGTCTAAGGGGCCTATCTGTGGCTCCATTTTAATCCAGTATAGCAATCCAGGAGCACACATTTATTGCTGGTTTGGTTAAATCTAATTATAGTATATACCACCACTGTGGGGGTGTCTTCCCAGGTTTTGACAGTCTGGCCTGAGTTTGGCCCTCTCAGCTGTGACCCATATGGTGACATAAGGGCTGGACTGGAACAGGAATATGTCTGGAGCAAGACTGGGCACAAGGATGGAGTCAGAGCAGCGCTGGGGCAGGATTGGGGACAAGACTGGAGTCAGAGCCGGGATGGGAACAAAGCTGGAGTAAGAGCAGGGCTGGATCAGTCTAAGGCCTATGAAGTCTGTCACCGCTATCAGGCAGGGAAGAGTCCAAGCCATGAAGTGATGTTGAGCAGACTGAGCTGCTGTTCCTCCTGTGGGGCTTATATACCTGTCCTGAGAGCCACCAGCCCAGCGCCTGGCTAGTGGATTGGCTGGAGCCTAGCACAGGAATGACTCATCACCGCATGTGCCTTAATCAGGTTGTAGTTCCTGGATGACTCCTCACCTCACAGACAGGTTCTGACCCCATGGCCTAAAGCAAAGCCCATTGAAATCAATGGGAGTCTTTTCATGGACTGTACAGGGCCCTAGATGGAGCCCTCCCCTCTGCCATGGTGCATGCATCCTGAGTCGTTGTGAAACACAGGGTGTCACCTTTGACTTTCCAGCACCTGGCTGAGAGAGAAGCTTTACCAAAAGAATAGACTCCAGTGGCTAAAGGGAAACATGATTGGTGAGCTGGTTGAGTGCAGTTTCCTGCTTCTGTGGACCAGATTTAGAAAGGGACTTAGAAGGCGCAACACTGGGTGTCCCTGGTGCCTAACTTTTAGATGCCTAGGAAATCACTGTGATTCAAAAAGCCTCAGTTCAGCACCTACACTCCCCATGTAAAGACTAGAGGGCCTCAGAATGGGATTCTCTAGACCCAGCAGACTACTCGGGATGCTGCCTAAGGTTACCAATGGGAGATGGCAAGGAAGGGAGTTCAAGGCCTAAACCCATGCTGGAGGGAGGCATCTTTCTCTGGTGGAAGTCACATCTGTGAACCCTTTCCTCTAGTTAGGCACCCACTCTACTTTTGCAATAATCTGCAGAGGGGAAGCTCCCTCCTACCTTTTAGTGCAGTGGTTAGAATATTCACCTGGGATGCGGGAGCTCCCTGGCTCAAGTCTCCCCTCAACCCAAGGGGAG